AACCACCACAATTTACAAGATCATACTTTTGAGCTGCACTTTCCAGTGATCCTGTTTATGGCACAGTCTCCCCAACAGCTGTAGTGCCATAGGCAGTGGGAAGACAGGAACCTTGAAATCCAGCTCCCACAATTAATCAAGTTACATTCTCCAACAGTTCTTTTTAGATAGGGGCACTGTCAGACATTCAGATGTGAATACCATCCATCCTGTAAGCTAGAAAGCAATCAAATGTGAAAATTAATCTCTCAAAATAGAAAATCACTGAAAAGATATGTTAAGAGAAATGACTCAGAAAAGAAACTTCACTTTATTAGGTAGCACTTAATTTAAGTCATCATTCAGGTTATCATCTTACAAGTCTCACATCCTTAAGGATTCGTACTCCTGACAAGAAATCAGTGCAAAAATACAGAGCTAAAGTAAACAGCCTCTGAACTACAGTCAAAATCCCAGTGTTACAATGCAAACCTGCAGATATTATGAAATGCCTGTGAATAATGAAGACAAGAAAGCAAAACAAGCTCCACATTCATCTCATTTCACACTTGCTGAGAAATCAAAAGAAGCAATCTGAAGTCTTTGAAAAAGCCTCTATTTATCACTGCCAAATGTTGTTGCTGCTGAATTTCGAGGAATTTTCACTGAATTTCCAATGAAAAGGACAATATCATCTGTTTCAAAGCTGGAAAACATATCCTTCCATTGGTGTCAGTCAACTCCTTATTTATATCACTCACGGCACTCAGGACCAGGGTCCTCACTCCAGTGGGCTCCCCACTTCTCAGTCACAAGCTTAATGAAGTAGCTATGACTTGCATACAGCTTGAGCTTCTCGCTGATGTCAACCCACTTCACTACTCCAGCATCATCACCTGCTTCCAGTGGCAAATTATCCATTGTTTCACCTGTTCACAAAGACCACAGGAATGGTATCATCAGTGTTTCTGGGGGCTGATAAACCAAGGACCATGACATAAAACTTCACCACTGGTATCTACTACCCAAAACACAGTGGATATGTCACTATATGACTAGACTGGTCTATTACCTCAGATCCCCATCTCTCACCTTAAAGATAAACCAAAGAACTAGCAATGTACGCCTGTTCCTACTGGTTTATACAAGTAAAATGAGGTTCAACAATTTATTCTGGCAGAGTAAGCAAGACAGAAGGTATTGGAGCAATTACAATGCCAAAGCAATAAATGCAGTGAAAATCTTCCAGTGGCCAGAGACAATGCTCCTGAAGCACACACTAGCTACTAAAGGAAAAATAACAAAAGAAACAGACTATCCTTCCACTCCAGGCTCATTAAAAAGGGAAATTAAACCAACTCAAGATACATACAGTGACACGAAGGAACAATGTTCAATTTCCATACGAAGGCACATGGCCCACAGCTTAGAACTAGCTAACAAATGAATACATAATTTTCAGGCAAAGTCTGTATGTTCCTTGTTTCAAGACTGACAGAAACCAAAGGGGAATAACAACTACCTGTAATGGCTGAACACCTTCAGAAATAGGAGACCCTCATGCCCACTGGTTTTAGTTCAGTATTTCACACCTGACTTACATGCTCCCCCAGTATGTCTCAATTTCAACTCAACATACAGAGTAAAAGGCAACTAAGAGCACACATGGAGATACCCACCGGTTTCATCATGATAGTTCACGGCCTCTGTCTCCATCCAGGCATTATCAGTGTTACGAGGGTCATCCACGTATCCTCTGTACACCTAAGGCCCCAAACGAGCCAAAAACAAGCTCAGCATCACAACAAACAAGGTGGAGTCAATCAGAAGGTATTTTCTTTCCCTCTAATGTAAGGACATTTGTCCTTACAGAGTTTTCAGTAGCCACTCCCATTTCCTACACCGTGACAACCCAAACATCACAGCTTCTTCTCATTTCAGCTACACTTTTTCAAGTTCCATAAAACTGTGAGTTACATGCATAGGTCAAGAAACTATCATAAGAGACAGAGCTCACCTCAAAGTGTTCCTGGCTGAAGAGCTTGTGGAGATGCTTCTCTAATTCTGCTTTATCTTCAGGAGATTTCTGCAAGGAGTTCAAGGCCTCCTCCCCAAATTCTCGCTTCAGGGTAGCGCTAATCTTCTCCCCTGGGTCCACCATCCCCTTAGAGGGGGAGAAATAAAAAAGGTGAATATCCCCCAGATTCCACTTGGTTTTAGTCCCCTTTGACTGGCTCTTAGTATATTACACCCATCTGCACCATACTCTGGACATGGAAGGAACTTTACACTTAGTTGTAAGGAGTGAGCATGCACATCCTTCAAGATCTGCAATGGATTAAATTGTGCCTGCATTAAGGAAAAGATGTGATCAGAATTAAATATAGTATCACCTTGCAATACAGAAACAGCAGAAGGCATACCAGCTAATGCCTGGGCAAAACTAGTTTCAGGAGCATTCCTCCTCACCTCTCCAACACGAGGGTCGCTCATCAAAAACATGCTTTTATCATGCACATGCCAGTTATTGCCTTGTGGCCTTACCAGCAGGAAAATGTCTACTGTTTCTAAAGCTTTGCTCTTACCCCTGGAATGGCCCACTCCCCACAGTCTCTCCTCTTGATAGCTACGAACTGTAAGATGTCTTTGCCAGTAACTGGATGAGCAATTTTATTGCCACTTCCATCCCTCTTCCACCTGCAGCAAACGAGAAACAAGAATATGCTTTGCTGCTTCTTGACACAAGGGCCTGGGAAAGAAAGAGGAAGGCACCCGTGCTGTCACCTGCACAGGGGCTACCAAAGCACAAGAAAGAACAGTCGGGGAGGGGGGGACCAACGGATACTGTCTGGCAAGATCACAGCTAAGGGCAAAACACTGAGATCTTTTTGCACCCCTCTACCAACTGTGTATTCCTCAGCTAAAAGGGCAGAAACCACCCAAGAGCCACATACGTGTAGCCATGCTGACAGCAGCAGCTTCTTTGAGAGCTATGTCCAGTACACACCATCAGCTGTGATGCTGACTGAGCTGCAGCTGTGCCTTAACAAGAGGATCATCATGCCTTCTGCCAGAACAGAACATGCATTCAGGCTGCAACTCCTCTGAACCACTCACCCACCATTGCCTTCAGTAAAGAATTAAGAACTACCAATAGTTAAAACAAAAAGCTATCTAAATAAATACAAATTAAAACTAGCATTTCTTTTACTTTCAGGATATAACTCAGTAGCTTTGGTAGCCTTCTGAAAAGGGAAAAAAGTAAAAGGATGATTTTCACGATAGTTCTAATGCATATCTCCAGCATGGCACTTCCTAGCTTGCAACTTTGTTAATTACATGATCTTTCCTGAAAGTTTGTGTAAACGGTACCTACACACAGATCCTGCTGGCAAAAGCACCATTAAAACACAGCATAAAGTGATACACACAAAAAAAGGAGCCTAACTCCACCTCCTCCTATAATATACTAGGCCAAATTAGCATTTCTTAAAGAACAAAAGTAGGCACACTGCTTTCTTTTGCAGTTGAGTCATTATGACACAAAAAACTATTCCTGCAATTGAACATGCCTCATCTAAGGCCTTTTGGTATATTCCATATTCAGTATCAAAGTATCACTTAATCTTTTCAGTTTTTACATTCATTACTGAATTCTTTATTTTTATAATGTATTTCTATTGAATTATACTTCCTGCTTTTTTGGGGGTTTGTTTTTTTGTTGTTGTTGTTTGTTT